GTTGAAAGCAAAATCGCCTGGTGTGAACGGCCTTTCAACTAATTGCTTCCAATGAAGTTGGGGTGCGGCCAACTTTTGATTCAACTAATCGCCTCTAAAATTGGCTGGAAAATCGCCTAATGCGTACACCGTATTATAAAGTAAACCACTTGCTAACAAGAATATTAGCAGTTTCTTATCTGCGGTAAAAAATTTCTGTGGAGGGTTAACAAGTTTACTTCTTAGGCGACGATATACATATATTTATAACTATATTTATTTTACTGAAATGTAACCGCCCCTTGATTTAAAAAGTAATCCGCCAATCTGTCCCTCATACGAAATGCTGCAGAAGTTGCGTTGCGTCGTGAAGAAGTTATTGATGGCAATGGACCACCAATACTTTCCAACTCATTACGCCATTCTCCATTTACTGTGCCATACTCCGTGCTATATGCGTCCACATATTGATCTGGGCAATACCAACGTTTGTGATCGTTAAGCATCACAAAGTTGTGCAGAACTAAACACGCCAACACAATTTTCTCGCAATTTTCTGGAGTACAGTCAATTGCTTGCCGCAGGACACGCCACCGAGCAGTTAAAATTCCGAAACTGTTTTCTATTACGCGGCGAGCTGGCGATAGCCGGTAATTGAAAACTTCCTTGCTTCGAGTAAGTTGGGTGCCAGGGTACGGACGCATTAAGTTTTCCTTGAGAGGAAACGCAGCATCGCCCACAAAAAAATGTGGGAAATTCTCTGTGTCTCCATTCCACAGAGGGGCTTTCGGTGGTAGTGGCAATCTATTCTCTAGAAGAGCACGTCCGAAGGCTGATTGTTGGAAAACACCTTTAAATAAAAAAAAAATTATTTAATATCAAAAGATTTCAAACCGTTTACTGTAACCTCCATCACTTTGTCCTCCATAGCTTCCTATACTGGCTGATGTGAACGTATACTTCGCATCACAGGTTGCCATCAATACAATACTATAAAATTTTTTATAGTTGTAGTACAACGAGCCAGAGTTTTTAGGACATATGATGGCAACGTGCTTTCCATCAACCGCTCCGACACAATTTGGGATATTCCACAGATTAAAAAAATCATCCGCAATATGCTTATATTGAGTCGTAGTCGGTTCGCTGAGATATGTTGGTGATAAGGTGGTCCATAATAGCTCACACGTCTCAAACACAATGTTGCGGACCGTTGTTCTGCCCAATTTATGCATCGAAGCAATAATTTCAAATCGCGTCCCGTGGGCAAGGTACCTAAATTCAAATAAACATTGAAAACCATGAAAAAGAGTGTATCATAGAATGTTTTAACTTACATTAACGTTATTACAAGGCGCTCTTCTGCACTAATTTGTTGCTTGGGCTTTTCGAGGAAAGCTCGCAATAAATTGATTAACAAATTGTACACTGAACGGTTCATCCTAGTTAATAGAAAAAGTTTACTATCAACGGGTTTTGATTTTAAGAAGACTTTCTTAAAATACCCATTTGGCAACCGATCTCTATTAACGGGATGAACCGCCCAGTGACGATTCCGCCCAGTGACGATTCCGCCTGCATTGTTTTCGCTTATTTTGAAGTCGGCAAATATTAATGAAAACCAAATCCAAAAATGATTCATCCATGTCCTGGCCGATTTAACTCCTGTGAAAATATATTGTATTTCGATATCTCTTCGTATGGAAGTGGTATTACATTTAAC